TGCGATTATTTCAAAATATTATCCTGACAAAATTAATAAATTTCATGTCATTTATTATAATAATTAATTATACTTTTAACACTTGATTGCGTCTAAAAACTGATTAGAAAATTATTAATAATTTTCTATCTAAGAGGTTTACTGATCGTTTTGGATCTCACTTAACTCCTCGATCTAAAGCTTACCTACCTATTAAATTCCTGATAAGTGGTAATCCTCGAAGACATCTGACGTGCAAATAGTGCAGAGATTTGTTAAAAGCTGATATTAAATTAATGATTAATGCATAATAAACTATCAAAATTAGGAGAACTTCTATTAAAAGAATATTAATATATTTCAAAGTTTAGATTTTAATGAAATTGATTATGAGCTTAGATTATAAATGAATAATTATATAGGTAATATTGAGTTTATGACTCAGAAGTTAAAGCACTATTAAAGAAATTTTTTAGCACTTAAATATGCACTTAACAACACCACAAAACCTAAACGCTGTAAATAGTACTTAAAATCAGAAAATAAGCAAATTAAAATTTCTTCAACAAATATTTATTTTTTTTTTAATTAATTTTTATACTTTTTTAAATTTTATAAATTTTATGTAAAATATGGCGGTAAGTATTTGAAAATGGTACTTAGTTCAGCTCTGGAATATTTACTGTTAATGTAAGTATATAATACAATTTAAATATTATTGTGAATATGAAATAATATGAATTTATTTTATTTAGCTTAAAAATTTCATTGAACAATAAGATGTTTTTTTATATTTTCAAATTTGAATGATTAAAAGTTAATTGATAATAGTTTGGTATGTCGAAAACTACCGCTCAACATCGAAAGACTTTGATGCAGTTAAATAATATCAATTCGCTACAATTTAAATCTTCAGGAAGACCATCTAAATTTCTTGACGTTTCTTCACCCGTTAGAGCTCGTGATATTTTTACCAACTCTGTGAGACTACGATATTTTTATCCAGTACCTGACTAAATTTATTTTGAACAGCTTCTTCATTTGGATTACATGTTTCTTTTTGAATATTTTAATTTAATCCAATAATGAAATATATTGCCGTTGTAATTTTTTAATAGCCAAGGTTAATTTGCTAATGTTTGACTTAATACATTTTAAGTTATTTTCTAATTATTCTGGTTTTATGATATAGTCTTAACTCTTAAGCATCTCTTATACTAATTGCGTCGTTCCTATTAAATATGAAAATAATACGATGTATTACTCAAAAATGTTCGTAAAAATAAATTGCCACGTTAATCTAACTTCCTAGCGAGTGAGAATTGGCTCCGCAGGTAATGATTATATTTGGCACTTCCGTTTTAAATACAAGTAACTTACAACTTTACAAGTAAGATTTTTTTACACTTGAAATAATTTTATCTATTACGTCTATCGACTTCTTACTTCTGCGCTCTATACAGTCCATTTATACATATTGTCCATGAACCAAATTCATTAACATCAATTTGAAACCAATTTGATAGACTTTGTTTTACTTTAGGCATTTTACATCAATCTAAAAATATGAAAGTATAGCCGTAACACGGAAGTTCACGATCGATCACGCATCTAAAGATGGCGGTCGATGAAAAACTAAAATAAAATCATTGTATATGATCATAGTTGTATAATACGATAATACGGCGGTGTTGTAAATACGACGAATTCGATAACTATAGTACATTTGATACGATTTTAATAACAACTAAATTATTGGAAACAAACAGAATAGTCCTTTTTGATTGGCGATAACAACACTGAAATGTAATATTTTTGTTATCGACGTTTTAGTTACAGTATTCGTAGTTGTAAATTTTTTTTTAAATAAAATTTTGTTTTATTCCTTTTTATATAAAAATATACCTGTAAATAGCACTTAAAACTCAAAATTAACAAAGTAACTCTAAAAACCTCAAGTATGTAAAAATTATTAAAATAAAATTTCGTATTTAACATCAGGAAAGTGTGAAACAAATTTGTGTCTTACTCTGAATGTCTTATGACTAACCAATAAAAATATGCATTTACTAGAACTTCCGATCCCTGTAACTGATATAATATAATAATTAATAAAATTTTACTAGATGTTATTAGTGTTATACTTTTAGTGTTTTAGTTTATATGTTATCTATATGACTACATGAGGTAGGTGAGGCAGATTCTGACTTACTTCTTTAGTGTTTACTAATCCATCAATTAAATCATTCGTTTAAAATTATTTTTTTACAACGATTAACGATTTTTAAATTCAAATTTAACATATCCATTACAGTTACTTAATGCCAAGGTAAATACACTCGAAACTTACCGTATGTAATACATATATTATATTTATGTATACATTACTTCGAAATCCCGAGTTTTTGAAACATAAAATCACGATTTTGAATGGTCAAAGATTGTTGAATTTAATTTTTAAACACTCTATGTTATCACGTTTATTTAAAGAAATGTAAAAACATCTAAGATTTTTAAATCATCCATATTATTAATCAGTGATCAGTTATCATAAATGTGTTTTTCCTATCCACCACTGTTAAATGGACCCATGGACATATTTATGTCAATAATTATAATGGTTTTTCTGATGTGACGTTAGTATTATGACTGAACGTCATATAACATGTCTAACAGTCTAAGCGTATATTTAATTAACTATATACTTCTTTTTGACCTTAAACTATATTATATAGTCCGTACTATAATTTTAATACAAAAAAAATCTACTGGGAAGTATTTATCATCATTTATTACATTAAATTGAATATAACTAAACATATATTTTTTAATCCTAAGAAGTTAAAAGTCATATTGTAAAAAATACTGACAAAATACTAAGAATAGGTATTTTTTTCACCTTGGAGCAAGATAGTGTAATATTGAATGTATTATTATACTATAAATTTGAAAGCAATGACAAAGCATCGCATTGAAAAAACAATACTGATTGAAGCTCATTTAATTTAAGCAATAGTATCGTTTTTGAAATATTAAGTACTCATAAAAAAATATGGGTAAAGAGCTTAAAGTTTAATAAATATAAGTATAGTAAGAATATAGTTTGAATAACCTTGAATAAAAATTTCAAGTCTTAGTATCTACATGAAATTAAATGTCTTGTCAAAACAAATTAATAACAAATAAAAGTAAAATCAAATAGGTAATAACATTAATTTATTTTATTATTACAAATCAAACTTTTTGCACAACGATTTTATTAATTATATTTTGAATAACATTAAGTTCAAATTTGTGTTCATTACCACAAAAATACCCGATGTTTAAATAAATATTATTGATTTACTATTTGTGTACGATAATTTGTTAAATTTTAACATGCATTACAAGCAGTATATTAGTATTTTTTGGTATATGTGCTACAACTTTTCTCATGCTTTAAAAAAATATCGACCTTGCATTGTAAATATGCTAGGTAACTTTAACAAAATGATTTGCTATAATAATAAATAATAATAATATTAATAATATTGATTAATGTAACAAAATGTGTATTAAATTAGCATCTAAAATTTAATGATAAATCATATTATCATTAAATTTTCAAGTAATAATTTAAACTTTAAAATAATAAATAAATAATTATTTTAAAAATAATTCATTGAGATAATCCTTTTTAAATTAGTTCGAATAAATATGTATGATATTAAACATTGAAATCGTATCATATTATATGATTTTATACTAAATAGATCAAATAGACCTAATCTAATCAACGTTAGAAAAATTTCCTTCAAAATATATCATTTATTTTACTTTTATAAAGATACAAAACAGTTTTAAACAAAAATAGTGAATGTGAATTAATCTAATGCTAAACATAACCATATATAATAAATTAACATTATGATTCACGAAAGTTTTGTTTTATATTTACAACTTAAAAATGGAAAGATTGTATTAGGTTCAATCAAACCGGTGACAATAGTATTTTTCATACAAAGTTAAGTAAGATTAATGCCAGATAAATCGAAATTATTTGGATATAAAAAACTGTAAGCTGATAACAATATAAACAAATTACAATAACGTAATTTAATAATATCACGTCGTAAGTAGGTAATAAAAACTCAAGTTGTATACAAATATATTTTACACAACTACAAGTATACACAAGGGAAGCAATGCAATACCATATAATTTTTAGTTTATATAGGTAGGATAACATGCAGTTTATAAGACTAACGAGTAACGACAGACACCATTGTGGTTGGACTGCGGGTAAACCCCTTCCCCACCTCATATTAAATACTGCAATGTTAGCTTAAAATTAAAGATGTTTACATACTAAAAAAAATTGGTACAAGCTAAATCGCATTTATCTCGTTCTGTTCGAAATCTAAGTCTTATTCTTTCATGAGTCCTTCGATATAGGCGCGATCTAAGGATTTGTTCAGATCGATATGATTATTCTCAGAAATAAAAACACGCAGATAGGTGTTATAATACCTATAGCTATAGCCTATAATATAAGACGGCAGGGTATACGGGTTCAGCGGAGATGGGCCGACCTCGTAGCTTTCAAAAACACGTATTTCCCCGAGCTCGCGAAATGGATATAAAACCGAAAAACCTCCTCCGCCCGCTAGTATTTCATGTAAATATCCATTGCGGGTATCATAGGTTTCTCTACAGTTCCAGAACCAATCATCAAATTAAAACGTATGAACAAAAATAAATAAAGTGTTCAATTGACAATTAATATGAACATCGAATTTACCGCGAAATGCATGCCGTTTAATTTCGTGACGCATTACTCAACAATCAACGTGTTTCCGTCGTATCGCATAAATCGTGTTTTGACGCGATGCGCTCAATCTTAGTCACCGGTGCGTCGGACGACTACGGCTGTGAACGCCGCTAATAAATTGTCATATGATGTGTTACCGTGGTAACGCCTGACGCCAGGTCTTGGCGGGTGACCGGCGGACCGGTATATACCTACCTAATACTCGCTGTTCAGACCGTGGCGCGTAGTCTGAAGTGAACGGCTTGCTGAAACACACGTTCGCCGTTGCAGTGTACGTATTTCGCGCGATCTCAGTTTTTGATTCCGAAGTATATCTTTGTAACCGTCGAGTTTTCCGTTTTTTTTTTTTTTTAATAATTTATCAACCGAATAGTTTCGTTCTCATCGACACGAGTCTTTCTGACTAGGTATTATTTTTCTTTTAACGTTTACCTATGAGCGCAGTAGTGTCTGACTAAAACGAATCGAGAAATTTAACACCATATTAATTATTATCGCATACTTATTGATATACGCTCAAAAATATAATTATTATACATATTAAACATAACACAAGTACACCGTGCTCGCGTTTTGGACAGATGCATCAATAGACGCCAAATCGATTTTGAATAATTTCATTAAGGTAAATCAATTTTCTATGAAGTTTATTGAACTCAATAGCATTAAAACTAATTCATTGAAGAATAATATTATGTAAATAGAAGACAATTAATTTGAAAACATTAATGGGACTAATGACCTAACCTATATTTATATATAATATGCACATGACAGTTTATTAAATTATGTTGATTTTCAATTTTACACTAATTTTGACTATACCTAAATGAATTTTACTTTTTTAATTCAAAAATACTGACGTATAGTGTACGGCACATTCTTTTTAGTGATTTATATTATTATTTAATAATACGAAGATAATTAAATTTATTCTATGCATTTATATCTAGGTACTTGCATAGCAATAAGTACATAATAGTATTGTATCAATCAGTGGTAACTATCTTAAATCTCAATAATATCGGTTGATACACATATTTTATCAAATTTTAAATGCTTATAGTTACTAGAGAAGTAGGTATTTAAAATTATTTTACTGAATTTGATAATAATAGACAATAATCGAATAATCGACACTAGCATTATAATCTTTCAAAAAAAAAATAAAATAAAATAACGTTTTAACTAAATGTAATACAATACAAGAATTATATTGTACTACATTCAGTTAAAAAATTATTATTTACATTAAAGTATCTATAATTATGTAAAGTTATATACATAGTTTCAATCATTATACAGATTGCAGCTAATAAAAAATAATTATGTTTAAAAACGCAATTTACTTCTCTTTATATTGCAATTGAAGATTGTAATTTTGTAAAATTTAAAAAATAAATTAAGGGATTTTTAAAAACGACTAAGATTATGATGCTTGTAAATTTATTCTAGACGATATTAATTGTAGCGTTCAAAAAAAAAGTTTATTGAGCAGAGCTTGTAAGATTAATTTTGACAAGACTCTTGTGCTTTCCATCTGTTTTAGATATTTACTTAACGCTAAATAAATAAATTAAATAAAAATATAATCGTATAAATAAATAAAATTTCTGAGGGAATCTTATAAATTATATGAATATTATAAATAAAAAGTTATCGTAATTTATAATTCATGATTATTGGGAAAATGTATTTCATTGGTTTTAAGATAAAGAATTTTTTAATACGTTAAACAGATGTATTGGATCTTTTAAAAAATATTGTTTCAGTTTTTATGTTTGAAAAAATCATGTGTTTAATTTTAAAAATAATTTTTAATAATTTATGACCGATCTGTTCAGTGTGTTGTGAACATGCTTTGTAGGTGTTTTATATATTACACGTGTGAGAAGATAAAGATAACAAACCTCGATGTGGCGTTTTAATATTTAAAATAAATTCAAAAAATAATTAGGTCTTTCTTCATATATCCAGTAAACTTGTTTTATACATATTATTATGCAATATGTGTTTTTAGTGTATACAGCAGTCTATAATATAGTCTAAGTTTGTTATGATCGTGAAAGGATTACGTTTTATATGCTACACAACGCGTTTATATGTATTATTTATTTTAAAAGAATATGTTGATATAAATATATATACTGCTTAAAATTAGGAATATATTTTAATAAAATGTTGATAAGTATTGTTAATTCGTTTAGACCTTCGTACAAAATAATAACATCAAAATTCTCATGAGTGATTTACTTTTCTAGCCATATAATTCTATTTAGTATTATTTTTTTATTTTATTTTTTATTGGTTTGGTATCTATATACAGTGTACATTATATATAATAAATAATATATACCTATTAGGTACCAATATACTATACTTGCATAGAAATATAAGATATTATATTTATATATAAATAGATAACAAATTTAAAATATAGCTTAATAAGTTACAATATCAAAACTATGACTATTTAAATATGTTAGTAAAGTATAAAATTGTCTTAGTTCTTTATTATTTAAAACTTCATATACTGTTTATTAGTTAAGGTGTGCTTAATTTTTACAACGTTTATTTTTATTAGGTTTTTTTAACTATAATTAGATGTTGTTATTTAAAGCCATGCACTTTGAAACAACTTAATAGTATATACATATTATTATTTATTATTAAATTAGTAGATCTACTAAATGAGTAGTATATATTATGTTATTGAAGAAAGCTGTTTATTACTTTGATGTACCAAATCTAGTAAGATATTTCAACTATAGCCATTTAATTAAATACAAAATATTTATTTTACAAAGAAAAAAAATAACTTTATCATTAACAAAATATTTATCAAATAACAGTATATTATTTTACACTTATTTTTAACATTTTAATCATTTAAAAATAATATAAGTACAATGTGATTATTTTAATGGTAGAAACTAATTTTTACGAAAAGTATATAAACATTTTTGAAATATTTCTTTCGCATGATTCAATTACACAAAACGATAGCATACTATACATTTTTAAATTTTAATCTCATATTTCTAAACAAATGTTTTTCTAAGAATTTAAAAATAATAAATATAAAAATATATAAATCCAATAAGTAATATCGTATAAGTTATAACATTTTTAATTTAATATTTATGTATTTAAATTCTCAAAAAAAGATTCTGAAAATTAGGTAATTACATAAGAAAACATTTTTCAAATTTTCAAAACATATTGGTATTTTACGTAAATGTCTTGATATTCATTTTAACTATTACACTTTTACGTCATTAATATCCAAAATAATGTTGATTGAAACATTTACAAGTATTTATATTTTTAACATTCTTCTTATTGCTGTGGAGATTTTTATTACATTTCGTAAAAAAACTTGACAATTAGCTAAATATTGTATATACCTACAACCTATGTATATAGGGATAATTAATATGTTTTCAGTATTGATTTTTATTATTGGAATTTAAAAAATAAGTTGTTTATTTTAGTTTTACGTTTTTACTGTGATGCATATAATTTTGTTTTAAATACGCTATCATTAATTCTTAAAAAAAAAAAAAATAAGCCCAAATACATTTTTATTAAATTTCAAAATTTCAAATGTAATTAGTTTCTATGTTTTACCGAATATATCGTATTTTTTTAAGATACCGTAAATGTCAGACATTGGTAAATAATACTAACTAAATAATTGATGAGATGATGTCTACGTAAAACAATTAAACCAAATACATAGATGACTTAAATTTTATTTGTTTGTGATTATCTGTGTAATATCTGTAAATACATAATAATTTATTGTTAATCATGATATCATACTAAATAATATAAATAATAATATATAGTCATATCGATAGATGCCTTAGCCTTATAATAAGTTGACTTCATTCGTCTTCAATCTCTTGATTGGTTTGTTTCTATTCCTCATGTTTCCCTTTATTAACTTAATTCCTTGTAATTATCCTTTTCCATGTCTATCTTGAAGTTTCATAAAGTTTAGTATGCCGGTTTTATTTTATAAAAAAACTTAGTAGTATTTTAAACATATTTATACATACATAAATTGTTATCGAACCGTTTACAATGTTTACATACTCAGATCTTCGATTTTTCGAGTTTTTTCAACTTAAAGAGTTGAGAAGGAATATGTAATGATATGCTGCCTAGCATCTAATAAATTAATTGAAAAAATAACATTACCCTATTATAAAGGAAGTTCAACAACTTGTGATCTATTTCCATTAATATTATTATAACGATGTGGTTGTTAGCTAATAATTAGTGTTATTTTCCCATGTGATCTCTATAAAAAATAAATAAATAAATTTAACGAACAGTTCAACAATCTAATATTATATTGAACACACAAAGACCTTGTGACAATATGCGTACCTATCACAGATACACAAACATTATAGTATAAAAAGAATACCCCATACACGTTTCATTAGTTGTACATATTTTCGGTCCAGCTAACAACATCCGTGTCAAGGATCGCGCAATACGTTCGATGATATCACATTAGGTATAAGTTATTTTTGTCTATTGTCTTGGGTATAATGCATAACTTGTGGGAGCATAAAATGTTTTCGTTCGGGAAAGAATAATAATTATGCTGCAATAGGATGAATATATTATGATATATTGCTCGCCATAGCTAGTATATAACATGCGGTCGTCTTTTTTGTTTTTCCACTTTCCTTTCCAACAGGATTATTGCGTGTTATTTTTCTTTCTCTGATTCGTAAAAATTTCGATCATAACGAATTCGATTGATATACTGGGTATAATTTAATTGTATTTATTTTTGTTTATATGGCGGTTGACGACCCGTACATCGGACACAGCATATTGTGTTGCAGGATATATGCACACCGATGTATCAGAACTTGGCCCCAATGAGGTCACTAGCTTCGTTAGGGTTATTGGGCATACACTACAGCTGCAGTAGTGAACCATGAGTTTATGTAACTTATACCGCCAATCGCCAAAACACCCATTTGCACATAGGAAATACGTCTACATAACATAATAATATTATAATATCTACACCGGTTTTAAAATTTACGATTTATTTCGTGTGTTTATTCGTGTATCCTTGATCGCCGATAGCCGATGCTTTTGCTGTTTGACTGTGATAATCACCACAGTTGCTTTTTTTCTTATATAATTTGAAGTTCACTATCGTAGGTATACCCATATGAACAAAAATATAAACAGTTAAAAGTTTTTACAATTATTATTTGTTATACACTCGTCAATACAAAAATTTTAGGAATAAAAATTTCGTAAAATAAGTCATAAACTCATAACGTTGAATAATACTACGATCTAATATTATATAAAAATGGTTAAATACATCGTAGAATCTTAAACATGGTTTATTACTCTAACTATAACTCGGTTTATTGACACATAATTAAAAAGAAAGGATCATGTTGATTGTTAAGTCTTGTGTGGTTGTGACGCTGTGTGTTGTATTCACAAGAGTGGACATAAAAATATAATACCTGCATTAGGTAGGTATGTCAAGTTTACACATCGTATAGGTATAATATTATTATTTACTGATGTAGAAAATAATGACAGATAAAAGTGTTATATAATGATGAATAGTTA